TTTTTTTTTTTTTTTTTTTTTTTTTTTTTTTTTTTTTTTTTTTCGTAGGCGTTCAGTGGGAAGGCAATGCCTCACTCGGTCCTGTAATGGTTCAAGAGCGACAGAAGACTTTAGCTGGTTTTCAATAAATGGAGAAACCTTTTCTTATCCTGTCTAGTTTAACCAATTTGGATTTGAATGTGCTGTAAGTGTGGGGAAACTGGTAGTCCTACTGTACCTATTCTCTATTTAGAAGGAAAAGCTCCCTTTTCTGAGTAGGAAAATATTAACTTTACCTTTTAAAGAGACCTACTGTGAACTTGGTTTAAGCTCAGTTTAAATTAAGTGAAGTCCATTGCCCATGGTGCTATAAATTGTTCTGCCAATCGGAGTCTCTGCTCCAAATGTTCTTAAACCCACTTCCCTGAAGCACTGCAGATATTTTGTATGCATCTTATAGAAAGCAATAAGTACACAACATATGTTAGTAACCGCAAATGAGTAGTTTTAATTCTCTCGTCACCAAATTGAATTTATCATTTTTAAATTTGCTTCCAATACACCTGCTGGTACATGCATACTTTTAGATCAATGGGTATGTTAAAAGAAACGCACTTCCAGTTTTCAACTGCTTTTCCCACTTTTTGGATTTTTTCACCTTCAGTTGGGTTACAGTCTCAAGCATTTTAACTTGGGCAAGTGGCATGCATCTCATTTAAGTTCGGTTTTATAGGCGGTGTGCCAAACTCTCAGAACCCACAAATTGAAACCTAATGTTGTCTGGTATTAAAGGGATGGTTAATCCAAAATTGAAAATTACCCCATAATTTACTGAAGACATCATAGGTGTAGGACTTTCTTGTGCCTATAATCTGTTTTACGTTTTAAAGCTGTCCTGGCTGTTCCCAGCTTTATAATGGCAGTGAATGGGTGATATTCAATTGTTGTCCAATAAACCGTCCATCCATAAAGTGGTCCACACAGTTCTGGGGGGTTAAAGGGTTTTGAAGCTAATCGAAGTGTATTTGAAACAATATCCATGTTTATAACTTCATAAAATGTAATCTCTAGCTCCCGCTAACTGGTACGTGTGACTAGACAGTGGCGTTCCAGCTGATATGTATATGTACAGTAGCATATGCTTCGGTGAGAATGTTAGTCTCGCAAGGACCAAGTTTTGTTTAGAGAAGCAAAGTTTCCTTTATTTAGCAAAGGAAAACCAGTCTCCTCGGCTTATATTGAAATCTTGTGACATTTTTCGGTAACACTTTACGGTAAGGGAACATGAATTACCATGAATTCATGCATAAATTAATGTGTGAATTATGCATTACTTCATGCATTAATATCTCATGAATTATCAGGAACTAACGTGAGTTCAAAGTCTCTCATTCATGACTTCATGGATGAACAACACCTTAATTAAGACAGTAAGGTGAGTACACCATCATGATTTATAATTTATTACGCACGATCATCAAAACAAGGTCTTTACTATCCATTGTGGATAAAGCTATGCTTATGGCACATGATTTAAAAAAAACATTATTTTGTGCATTTTAAGACTACTTGAATTATTAAAGGAATATACAAAAATCCACATTACCGCATGCATGCATGCATGCATACAGGCTAGAACAGTAT